CAGAAACAGACCCATATAAATATATAAATATAGTCAATTGATCTTTGACCAAAAAAACAAAGGTAATACAATGGGGAAAAGATAATCTTTTCAAAAAATGGTACTGGGACAACAGGACATTTACATTCAAACAAATGAATGAAGATATAGATCTTATACCCTTCACAAAAAATTAACTCTAAATAGATCACAGATCTAAATGTAAAACACAAAATGATAAGACTCTTAGAAGATAACATAGGAGAAAATCTAGATGACCTTGGCTTTAGTGGTGACTTTTTGTTTTGCTTTGGTTTATTTATTTATTTATTTGAGACAAGATCTCTGTGACCCAGGCTAGAGTGCAGTGGCACTACCACAGCTTACTGTAGCCTTGACCTCCCAGGCTCAAGTGATCCTCCCACCTCAGCTTCCTGTGTAGCTGTTAACTACAGGCACATGCCACTATGCCTGGCTAATTTTTCTGAAATTATTTGTAGAGATAGAGTCTCTCTATGTTGCCAGGCTATCTTGAACTCCTGGGCTCAAGTGATCCTCCCATCTTGGCCTTCCAAAGTGCTGGGATTACAAGTGTGAGTCACTGCACCCAGCCAGGTTATGACTTTTTTGACATGACACCAAAGGTGTGATCTATGAAAGAAAAAATTGATAAGCTAGACTTCATTAAAATTAGAAACTTCTGCTCTGTAAAAAATACTTATGATAATGTAAAGAGAAGCCACACACTGGGAGAAAACATTTGCCAAAGATGTATTTGATATGGGACTATTATCCAAAAACGTAAATAAAACTCTTGAAACTCAACAGTAAGGAAACAAGCAACCAATTAAAAATGGGCCAAGACCTTAAGAGACACTTCACCACAAAAGATATACGGGTGACAAATAAGCATATTAAAGATGCCCCACAATGTATGTCATCAGGAAAATGCAAATTAAATCAACAATGAGATACCACCTACACACCTGTTAGAACAGTGAAAATCCAGAACACTGATGTAAGATACCTTGATGTGCTTTGGTCAAGGAATAGGCCGAGGCGGGTATCCAGGCCTGTGTGAGTCAGCAAGTTTGGCACGCAGGCGCACACCTCCACTTGTTATATAACCTGTTTGTGTAAGTTCATACTTGACTTGGAGCCGCAGTTGTCTGTAAAAGGTATAACTGCCCTGTTAACACTGTGCACCAGAGACATGGCTCTTGGACTCGGCACGCCTCAGCATGGCTTGACATGGTGGGCGCGCAGGTGCCCAGAGAAAGAAAGAGCGAGTCAGAGCTGTCCGTCTTTGCAGATGGACAGAAGGAGCCAGGACATAGCTCAGCTCACTTGTGCCCAGAGAGAGAAAGAGTTAAGCTGCTCACCCTGAAGGCAAGGGAGAGCCGGCTAGGCAGCTGTGTGTGGGAGCCGCCAGACTAAGCAGCCGAGACAGGGCGGGCAGTGTGAGAGAAAGCTGTTGATGAGAGCTGCTGCTGAATAAAATCATCTTTCACCTGCCTACAGCCCCCCGAGTGCTCTTTCTGCTCATCCAGCCACTCCCTTCGGATTCAGCATAATATTTGGCGTAGTCGTGAACCTGACAACTGACAACATCACATGCTGGCAAGGATGTGGAGCAAAAGGAACCCTCATTCATTGCTAATAGGAATGCAAAGTGGTATGGTCACTTTAAGGATAGATTGGCAATTTCTTACAAAACTAAACATATGGTTACCATACAATGTAGTAATCATACTCTTTGGTTTTAACCCAAAGAAGTCAAAAATTTATGTCCACACAAAAACCTGCACATGGATGTTTATAGCAGCTTTATTCAAAATTGCCAAAACTTAGAAGCAACCAAGATGTCCTTCAGTAGGAGAATGGATAAATAAACTGTGGTACTTTCAGACAATGGAATATTACTCAGCACTGAAAAGAAATGACCTATCAAGCCATGAAACTACATGGAGGAAACTTAAATGCATATTACTCAGTGAAAGAAGCCAATTTGAAAAGGCTACATACTGTGTGATTCCAACTATATGGCAACATGGAAAAGGCAAAACGATGGAGATGGTAGAAAGAGCAGTAGTTGCTAGGGGTTAGGGTGGAGGGAGGGATGAATAGGGAGAGCTCAGAGGATTCTTAGGCCAGTGAAAATACTCTGTATGATGGTTTAATGGAAGATACATGCTGCTATAAATTTGTCCAAACTAACAGAATGTAAACCACCAAGAGTAAACCCTAACGTAAACTATGGACTTTGGGTGATAATGATGTGTCAATGTGGGTTATCAATTGTGACCAATGTACCACTCTGGTGGAAGTGACGTTGATAAGAGGGTGGCTATGCCCACTTGCTGCAAGCATGTGTGGAGGCAGGGAGGATATGAGATATTTCTGTATCTTCTGGTTAACTTTTCTGTGGACTAAAACTACATTTAAAAATAATCTCAGCCGGGCACAGTGGCTCACATCTGTGATCCCAGCACTCTGGGAGGCCGAGGCAGGCGGATCACGAGGTCAGGAGATCAAGACCATCCTGGCTAACATGGTGAAAACCCATCTCTACTAAAAATACAAAATTTTTTAGGCATGGTGGCGGGCACCTGCAGTCCCAGCTACTTGTGAGTCTGAGGCAGGAGAACGGAGTGAACCTGGGAGGTGGAGCTTGCAGTGAGCCGAGATCACGCCACTGCACTCCAGTGTGGGCAACAGAGCAAGACTCTGTCTCAAATAATAATAATAATGTTTATTTTTAAAAGTTTCTTTAAAAATAAATATGCAAAGGACAAAGCAGGGACCCCTGAAATTTCATCACTTAGAGCAGTGGTCTCCAAACTACTGTGATCACACAGACCATTAGTAAAATAAGTTTGCACACCTGCCTTCAATACATTTATACTGTATTTATTTATAATTAAAAAAAATAATTGTAGAATCATGGGGCTACCTTTTTTTATAGAGAGTACAGTTGCTAGACAGATAAGGACTGCTATATTTCTCTTATTCAAAGGGATGTTTTTTCTCTTCTCAAATAAAAACTGACATGAGTCGGGCTAGTTAAGCAATTTCATCTTTTCTCCAGTTACAGATCTGATTTCATAAGACACAGTGATCGCCTCTTCTCTGACAGGCATTGAAGAGAACACACTGATAAGTCGGGCCACTCTGCAGAACACCACGGCCCACGTTTCACTTGCTTTTTGTTTCCATCTGGCCTTGTTTTGTGTTAAATGGCCCTCACACTTTTTCTGCCCACTTGCTGCAAGCATCCTAGATGTTTTAAATGGAATATTTCATGCCCCAAACCTAGATTATAATCCGAAGAGTAGAAACAGATCTCCATATGAACCAACATAAAAACGAACCCAGTCTCAGGTGCTGGGTCAGGGTTGAAATCTCGTGATCTCCCAGCTGTGAGCGATGTTTGAAACAGTCCAGGCTAATCCCTGCCTTTTAGAGATGAAGAAAGGGAAGCCTGGCCACTGCCTCTAAGGTTAATAACAAACCAGGACCCAGGAGCCACATTCCTCATCTCCCCAAGTCAGAAGCTGAGGGTAACGGCTAATATTTGTGCCTTGAGCTTTAAACTTTTTCTGAATGTGTTTGAATTTTGTTTACTTATTTATTGAGACAGGGTCTTGCTCTGTTGCCCAGGCTAGAGTACAGTGTACACAATTGTATTTGTGCCACTGTAGCCTCAAATTCCTAGGCTCAGGAGATCCTCCTGCCTCAGTCTCCCCAGTAGCTAGGGCTACAGACGTGCAACCACCACACTAGGCTAATTTTTTTTGTAGAGATGGGGATCTTGCTATGTTGCCCAGGCTGGTCTCAAACTCCTGGCCTCAAGCAATCCTTCTGTCTTGGCCTTCCGAAGTGCTGATTACAGGTGTAAATCACCATGCTCAACTTTTTTTTTTTTTTTTAATATTTTCTTTTTACCCTATGATCAGTTAACAGAGGATAAATGTGTTCTATTTTATTCTCTCATTTCATCTTCTCGAGATGTTGTATTTGGCAAATGAGGGGAAAATCAGGCCATATAGAGGGAAATGACTTCTCTGTAGATGTTCATGAAGTTTGCCTCTGGGTTGTAAGTGAAATCCTAGCACCGAAGTTTCCTAATACCTACTTCTTTTTTTTATTTTTTAGACGGAGTTTTGCTCTGTTGCCCAGGCTGGAGTGCAACGGCATGATCTCGGCTCACCGCAATCTTGGCCTCCCGGGTTCAAGCAATTCTCCTGCCTCAGCCTCCAGAGTAGCTGGGATTACAGGCACCCGCCACCACAACCAGCT